TGAAGTGGAAAATACATGAGAACAGACAACTCAATGTGCGACTCATTATTAATTTACAAAAATATATCACCCATTTCTATCCCCTTTAAAAAACAGAAAATGCCTTTAAGAGATTGTCATACAAACTTAACGCTTTACTCAGTAATAAAAATTAAGAAATTACAGCCAGGCCTGGCGGTGTATACCTGTAATCCCAGCATTTGGAGGCAGGAGGATTGCTGCAAATTTGAGGCTAGCCTAAGCTGCACAGTGAATTCAAGGCCAGCCTCAACTACATATTGAGACCTTGTTTCAAAATAATATAAATAATAAATTATGTTGTTTATCCAAATTTATTATAGATGTGGAAGAATCTTCAATTCATAGAAATTCTACCAAAATATCCCAGAGCTCTAAAAAAAAAAATCTGTATTTTACCAAGCTAGTCATATAGCCCCTTCAAACTGCATCTAAGGACAGTAACAGAGTATTTAAACATCAAAGAAGAGGGCATATGTTCCCTCTTTCTGTTAAGTCATCCAGGGCTAAATCACAGAATAATTGTCTTTGTTCTCTAGAAAATAATGTAAGATTCTAAAATAAACCCCCATATTAGTTTTCTACTGTTGCTGTAATTATCACAACCCAAACAACATAAATTCATTATCTCACAGTTTCTACAGACCAGAAATCAGGTGGACTTAGCTGGGTCCTCTGTTTAGGATCTCACAAGGCCAAAATCAAAGTACTGACCTTGATTCCAGCTGTATTTCTTTCTGGAACCTGGCAGGGTGGGGTTCTGCTGTCTGCTTATTCAGGTGGTTGCTGAATTTAATTCTTTGTGGTTGTAGGACTGAAGTTCCCATTTCTTTTTGCTGCTGTCAGCTGAAGCTGGCCTTTGCTACTAGAGGCTGCTGCTTGTACTTTCCCTGTAGCCAGTTCTAGTAATGGCAGGTGGACTTCTTGTCATGCTCCAAATCTTTTAACTTCTTCTATACCATCCAACTCTAGCGGGGAAAAGTTCTGTTTTTAAGAGCTCATATGATTTTACTGGTCCTACTCAGAAAATCCAAGATAATCTTCCTATTTTATGATCCTTAACCTTGAAGTTCCTACAAAGTAACTTCTTCAGATTCCGAGAATTAGGGTACAGACATCTCAGGTGGCATTCTGCCTACCAGTCCACTGCCTGGCCTCCAAAGATTTGCATGTCTCTCAAATGCAAAAGAAAAAAAAAAATCTCATCCCAAGGTTCACAAAGGTCTCATACCACCACAGGACCAACTCAAACCCCCCAAAATCTCATCTAAATCTTACCAGTTCAAAACTCCCAAAATCCCAACCTTTTAGTATGAGAGGTTCTGAATATAACACAGTAAGCACAATGCCTGGGGCATAATTCCTTTAAAACAAAAAGTTATCTGCTTCCAGCATACTATCAGCATACTATGGTGAGACAGGAACAGGGTAACAGTTACAGTATTCTAGTTCAAATGGGAAAAATGTAAGAGAAAACAGAGCTGTTACGTCCAAAGTAATTTCAAAATACAGGCAAACACCATTCCATTTTACAGCCTGGAAAAAAATACTCCAAGGCTTTAAGCTCCATTCCTCCCACCTCTTAGTTCCACCTCTGAGTCACTTTCTTTTTTCTTTTTTTAAGCAACACAATTACATGTGAGTAGTTTTCTCAGTTTGCTTTCTGTTAGTAGAATTTGGGAGGACCCAAAAGCCCTATTTAATTTCTTATTTTCTGTCTCTTTCCATCACAGCTAGCATTGTTTCTGCTGGTATAAAACAGCCAAGAACTCTGTGGGCTTGGCATGAATTTCATAGGGATTCATTCCCTTAGAAAGACGTCCAGAAATAAAAACGGGCTGCACCTTCAATATTTTCCTTGAAAAATCTCTTCAGCTAAAAATTCAAATTCATTCCTTACAAATTCTGCTTTCCATATAATCAATTACAAAACAGTTCTGGCTAACCATATTTGCCACTATGTAACAAGAATCCCCTATCTGCCAGTTTCCAGTAACATGTACCCCACTTCTATCTGAGCAGAGTCATTAACATCCAAGTTCCTACTAACAATCTGTTCTAGGTCTCTTCTATCATGCTTAAATTTCTTCCAGCCTCCACCCACTGCTACTTCCATTTTTAGGTAACAGTACCCCACTCCCAGCACTAAAATCTATACTAGTTTCACTGCTGCTGTGACAAATTACCACAAATTTGTGACAATATCACAAATTTATTCTCATTTTCTGTAGGTTATAAATTGGGAAGACTCAGCTAGACCTGCTTAAAGTATTAAAGACAAAAGGAAGCTAACTGCAAAGGTATATTCTCTGCTGGCAACTGGAGGAAGAAATCTACTTTCAAGTTCAGTCAGGTTGTTGGCCAAATTCAGTTCTTTGTGGCTGCAAGACTGAGGTTGCCATTTCCTTGCTGGCTGTCAGTTACTAGAGGCTGCCCAAATTTTTTCTCATACTTTCTATGCAGCCCTTGCTAACATCAGCAAATGAAGTCCTTCTCATGCTTCAAATCTGACTTCCCCTTTTGCCCATCCCTAATTCCAGCTAGTTGGCTTTTAAGGGCTCATGATCAGATTGAGCCTACCCAGAAAATCTAGGATAGTTTTTGTATTTTAAGGTTCTTAACTTTAATTACACTTGCAAAGTTCCTTTTGCCATGTAACATTACATTATTTATAGAAGGTGGGTATTACAGTATGGACGTCATGGGGGAAGTGGTATCACTCTGCCAACTACAAACCCAAACCCCAAATCAGGCTTTTGAACTTCCTGAGCTCTCTCAATCCTCCTCCCTCAGACTCCTCACTAGGATTATAGAAGGATTACAGATGTGTGCACTATGCCTGGCTTCCCTTTTAAGAGCTGAGGTGTGTGGAGCTGAGGCAAGAGGATTTCAAGTTTAAGCCCCGCCTTGCCTGCACAGCAAGACCTCCTACCACCACTACCAAAAACAAAACAAAACAAAACAAAACCCCAAAACAGCAATAAGCTAGGCATGATGGTGAATGGCTGTAACCCCAGGAATTTGTGTTCAGGGCCAGCCTGGACTACATAAGTGAGTTGAACACAAGCCTGAACTACACATAAGACCCTGTTTAACAACAACAAAATAATACAAATTTTTTTTTAAAAAAGGCAAAACTTCATCCTTGGAAGAGTGGGCGGACCAGTGGAATGAAAAGTGCACCGCAGAAATCTTGCCAGTTGCTACCTGTTTCATCCTCAAATAGCAAAGTAATTTCCCCCAAACTCTGAAACTAAACCATGCTCTTCTTAAATGTGTGCTTCTCCTTTCCTGTTCTCCATGAAAGAGGACATAACTCGGGCTGCCTTGTGCATTTTCTTTTTTTGAGGAAAGTTGCAACAAGGTAACGTAAACTTTGTAACTTAAGTAAGTATCCAATCTTTTTCTTCTTTCTTCAAGTCACATACACTCCTCCAATAGTAAATGAAAGCCAAGAATCTCAAAGTCACAGAAGGTCAAATCTGCCTTGGAAAGACCACAGCAAGTAAACTTTTCAAAATGGCATAGAGAACTAGTATTAGTCCTGGAATTTCAGCCTCAGGTCTATCAAGCCAGTTAAGTCAAATGATCTTCAATTGGTTACAAATATCTGAAACCAGATTCTCAGCCAAAAAACACACTACCTAATCCGGAAGAACCCCAAATATACCAGCTCCAGCCGGGGATTTAGCTCAGTGGTTCCGCCACCTGCCTCACAAGTGCAAGGTCCCAAGTTCGACCCCCGGTACCAAAAAAAAAAAAAAAAAACCCATATATACCAGCTCCTCCCTTTAATAACGACAGGTAAAACTCTATTGAGCACTTCCTGCCAGGCACTGTGGTAAGCTCTTGATACAAATTATCTTTATATACTCCCTGCCATAAACTTATGAGCTAGGAAATATCATTACCCACATTTGACGGACAGTTTAAGTCACACAGCTTAGTAGTGGCCCTGATATTTGAGAAACAGTCAATTTCTTAACCCTTGGCCTACACAGCCACACCTTAGATGGAATGAGGGCTCTAGCTCTTGAAAATATCCTGCCTTCCAAATTTTATTTTCATATCCTCTCCTCACGCACCCTTCTCATAGAATGTAGCAGTTGAAAGGTAATCAAGCTTTCCCAAGTTAACTTGTCACCTCATTTCCAGAATTCTTTCCTCCCCCATGAAAGCAATAGCCAAGAAGCAATTTTGACTTTGTTTCCCTACAGTCTAACAAGCTATAGAAGCTCCACCCATCACCCCCCTAGCTTAGATATGTTCCAACACTGCAAAACCCAAACAAGAGGAAACAAAATTAAAAGGTCCTACTCTTTCAGAAGGTCACCAACACATGTACATTCTCAGCCAACCTTTCATTCTACATACCTCGCTGTCCTTTTCACCCAGGTTCCCAAGTAGACCTCAAACCCAACTCCGCCCGTTCTGCCCCACTTCGCGGTTGCCTCCTTTCTTCTCCCCAGCAACCCCACCCCGTCCCTTCCCTCGCGCACCCAGGGTGCAGGTGGGGAGCTCAGCCCCGCCCAGAAGGACCCCAGGCCGAGCGCCACTCCAGCTACCCCGCTCTGCCCGCGACCTTATGCGCCCTACCCAGCAGAAGCCACTCCCTCGGCTCCCTCCCCCAGCATCCTCGGGCCCCACCCCTAGGCTCCCTTCCCCCTCCCGCGACCCCTACCTCCAAGTTGCCCCCTAGTCTCCGCCCAGTTCAGCCTCACACCACTCCAACAGCAAGCCGGTTCCCACCCTCACATCGGCCTCAGCCTGGAAACCTCGCTTTCCACCCATGGGGGTTTGGCCCCGGGCCTCCCCAGTGAACTGCAGGATCCTCGCCTGTGTGTGCAAGGGGGGGGGGGGGGCAGGGGAAGGCGATAGGCCTCTCGGGAGTACGCTAACTGTGTGAGAGGCGGTCTCTACCCGCTACCCCATGCTGGGTCCATCCCCACCCCCGTACGACCTCTCAACTGCTCCAACGGTACCTGTGATGGAAGCGGCAGCGGCGGCAGCCGCTCTCCCCTCTCCTCACACAGACAATATGGCGGCGGCGGAGGAGGAGACACACGGCTCGGCCGCCAGCCGCAGGAACCAGAGCGAGGCTGCAGCCTCCGCTGCCCGGAAGCGGAAGCCCCCTCCTACCTGGAGGCGGGGAGGCAGGGTGGGAGCGCTTCTGACTCCGCCCCTAGCAGAATCCGGGTGAGCGCCGCCATGCTGGGATTTTCTATTGCATTCCTGGGGGTTCGGTTGGTTCGGTTCCAGACTGGGGCGCAAGATGGAAAGGATTCTCTATGCAAAGCATGATAATGAGACTTCCTATAACTAAGCTTATTTTACTTCAGTGTCTGTACTAACTTACGAGAGCGAGAACACGAACCTCTCACCAAGCATAAAATTGGTTTGATCCAAACTAAAATGCCGGTCCCTATCTTTCCCGCAATTCGCCCAGCTGGCGAGTCCCAGCAGTCCACTGATCACCGCCTCTTTCTTGAAAAGTCGCATGCGCGACCTGCAGAGTGGTAGAGTGAAGCATTCTGGGAACTGAAGTCTCTCTTGCTCCAACCCTTCAACTAGAATTAAGATTCCAGCAACACTTTTGTCCTCGAACTTTGAGTTTGAGCAAGTGAACCAAAGTTTTGTCCCGGGAAGGGCGTGGCGCAGGAGCCCGGGAAGTGATGTTAGTAGCCCGCTAGAGACCGAGGCCCGATTCCTTCCTCCTACGGGAGGACTACCTAGAGCTGCCCACCCAGAATACTATAGTGTTTTTCCTTATCTGCTCCCCATTCACACTCTTTTGGCCCAGGCTTCCTCTCCAAAACAGACACAGTACTTTCTACCGTGCAAACCTGATCATGATCTCCTCTTGGTCAGAAATCTCCCATGGCTCACTCTTCTGCACCAAACTGCTTTATAGTCAAGGCCCTTCATAATTCAGTTACATGCCTCTCTACTCCCCTACTCTGCTAACCTCTCCCAAATTCCTGATGTTTTCACTCACTAAAATTGTAAACTATTCCTGGCACTTGACTCTGTTGTCTCCCTCTCTTTGCACTGGCAGGCAGTTACTTACTGTTACTAGATAATTCGTATGTTCATCGAACTAGTTCAGGATCTCTTCCTTTCCAGATCTCCTTCTCTCTCTCTCTCTCCTCTCTCTCTCTCCCCCTCCCTCCCTCCCTCTCCATCTCTTTCCCCTCTTTCCCTCTCCCCCCCTAAACCCAGGCACTATTACTCACCAGACTGAGGCCCTTAGTCACCCTCCTCTGATTGACAGTGAGTCCCCAGTGGACTGGGCAGGATCTGATGATCACCCTTTCCCCTGCCAGCCCTGCTAGAAGTTGGTATGTAAGTGTTGCTGAGAGGAATTCAAGTGTTAGCCTCACCTCTGGTAGGGCAGAAGTGTGAAGGTTGGAACAAGGGTAAGGAGGCTGGGTTATTTCTGTACCAGCCATTATTCCCAGCTGCCTCAGAATAGCTGCCTGTTCCGGGGATTGATCTCTCCACCCTCTACAGCCCTCTTTTCACAGTTTATCAGCTGACTGGCATTTCTGCTGCCAAAAAGAGACAACCTCCTCCCCTGTGGATGGAAGTAGTGGTAGCTACATAAATATAGTGATGGCCTCAGGGAGGTGGCCACGACCTTTTCTGAGCGTCATCTGCCAGAAAGTTCTGGGGTTTTGACCCCAATTACCTGAATATCTGTAGCAGTTGTTCTCTGGGTGCCCCCAAGGTAGTCATTCCTCTTCTCTGAGCCTCATATTTCCTGTGAACTGAAGAGCTTGGACAAGGTGATCCCAAGATTTCTTCAAAACCCTCTTCCAGGAAATGTCTGGCCTTCCACCCAACTCTTGGATCATGTCTTTTTGTCTCTCATGGCTTCCTTTTTTCCACTTTTGTTCTCATTTGTTCAACTCATAGCTATTGACCACTTGCTACAAGCCAGACACTGTGCTGGGTGTTAAGGATGTAATATGAACAAGACAGATACTAGTTCCTCATTGGTGGAACTCATCTCGTAAAGTGAGAAACAAACATTGCACAGGTATCAAATGAATCAGCAGTTTCACATTGCAATAAGTGCTCTGAAGGGAAAAGATAAGTAGTTGTGAAATAGAATAAAAGCTCCAGTTAGCCCTAAGTGCTATGAGGAAAAAGCTAAGTAAGTCTGAAATAGGGAACTTTTGCTTAAGTGGCTCAAAAGCTCCCTCTGGGAAGGGAATACTATGTGCAAGGTCTCAAGGCAGGAAAGAGCTTGCTCAGTTTGAAGTAGGCCATGGTGGCCAAAGCACCATAAGTAAGGAGGGAAAGGGTAGGGAAAATGAGGAAGAGGTAGACAGGTCACTCAGGCCACAGTAAGGAAGATGGACTTTCATCTGAGTGGAGTGGGGCCTTCCTACGGCTTAGCTCTCACTCCTTTCTGATGATCTCAGCTTCTCCTACAGCATCTGGTTCTTCCTTCACCTCTCCAGTTCTGGCTTCGGTCAATAAGCTCACTCAGGGCCAGGGATTTAGCTCAGTGGCACCGTGCCTGCCTTGCAAGCACAAGGTACTGAGTTCGATTCCTGGTACAAAAAAAAAGCTCATTCAGAGAACACACCTGGCACATATGTACAACCCTTCATACTCATGCAGGACACAGATGATACCCAAGGTCTCCCACTCCCAGGCCACAGGTATAGGCTCAGTCCCAGATGTCCACTTTATTAGGGACTTAATACTTATTTTTAATGCTTATTCTCTCTGACTCCTGCCCTCCCAGACTTCCTTCAAAAAACAATGGCAGTTCCAGTAATAGTCAAGATGCTCAGAGCACTTGCCCTGTGCCAAACATGGACTGTTCGTCACCTCATTTAATCCTCTTCAATTTGATGAGGTAGAAACCAAAGTATCCCATCCTACTGATAAGGAAACTGAGGTTCAGAGAGACCACAAGGAGGTAGCATTCCAACCTGAGCCATTAAAATTTCAATCACTGCACTAAGAACCTAAGTATATCAGTTTTCTACTGCTACTTAACAAAACATAGTAGCTTAAAACAGCTGCCATGTATTTGCTTATGTTTGTGTACGTTTGCAATTTGGACACATGTCAGCAGGGACTGGTACTGTCATGCATGGCCTTGTGTCAGGAAGCAAGTCAAAAGCTGGCTGGTCCTGTATGGCCTCCTTCAAGTGTCTGGCAGTTGGCTGGGGTTGTTGGCTTAAGTGCCTTTTACTCCTTCATGTGGCTTCTTCAGTAAGCCAGCTTGGCTTCCTTGCATGATGATTTCCAAAAGAAAGAGAAAAAAACCAGTAGGGCCTCTTGAGACCTGGACTCAGAAGTGCAATAGCATCACTTTTACTGTATCATATTGATCAAAACCTTCACATAAGACTCACCAGCTCAGATTCAAAAGACTAGAAAGAGATTCCATCACTTGATGATAAAAATATCAAAATCATATTACAAATAGTCATGTGTATGGAAAAGAATAGAACCATTGTGGCCATGTTAGTAAATATTTTATCACGTTAAGTAACTATGTGAAGCCAGTTTACGTCTGTAATTTTAGTACTGTGGGAGTCCAAGGCAAGAGAATCATGAGTTTGAGCCCAGCCTGAAGTACGTAGTGTGAGACCCTGTCTCAAACAAAACAAAACAAAACAACCAAGCAAACAAAAAAAATGTCATTAAACTAGGCATGGTTGCACATGCCTGTAATCTCAGCACTCTGGGAGGCTGAGCAAGAGGATTATGATTTCAAGCCTAGCCTCAGCAATTTAGCAACTTAGGGAGATCTTGTCTAAAAAAAATAATAAAAAAAGGTTGAGATTGTAGCCTACTGTAAAGGCCTTAGGTTCAATTCCCAGTAACCCCACCACCACCACCATGCACACAAAAAGTAACCACGTTTGGAGCTGGTTAAATAAATTATAGTACAGCTAAACACAGAGCTACTCACACTATGAGGGCTAATGTTTTTTAGCAGTTGATGTATGTCAGACACTGTTCAAGATCCTCATCTACATTAACTTATTTCATTCTCACACCAGCACTATGCAGCCAAGTACATTTTTAGCCCCATTTCAGAGATTAAACACACCAAGTTTCAAAGAGGTTAAATAACTTATCCAAAGTCACACTGTCTGCAAATGACAAAGCCATTACAAAGAATGACAGCATTAGGTCCTCAATTGAAAATTGGCCCTGTCATACTGTTCCATGATAAAAAGCAAGAGACAAAGCAATAGTTTGGTTGAAACATATTTAAAAATGGGTAGACATATATGTGTAACAGAGTTTTAGATAAAGTTATCTATATGCTGGAAAAGCAGGTACATCTAACATTCTTGGTACACTGACAAATATTCCACATGACAGAGTTTTAGAATTCAGAATTTACCAAGAACTATAAATGGTGTGTATCTCTGAAGAGGAGAAGGTGGGAGCTTTTACTTTCAAAACTTGTTGGGATTTTGCCTTGTTTTGTTTTGGGGCCACTGGACATTTGAGGCCCAGAGCCTTTGGGACTAAGTAACCCCCATCCCCAGACCTTTCTTTAGTTTTTATTTTGAAACAAAGTCTCACAGTCACACTAAATTCCTCAGGCTGGGCTTAGACCCAGAGTCCTGGGATTACAGGTGTGAGCCACCGTGGCCAGCTTGCTTGGCAGCTTTCTCTCTCTCTTTCTTTCTTCCTTCCTTCCTTCCTTCCTCTCTCTCTCTCTTCTTTCTCTCTTTCTCTCTTTCTCTCTCTCTCTCCCTCCCTCCCTCCCTCTCTCTCTTTTCCTTCTTTCTGAAGCAAAACCTTTATTGGTACATTTTAGATATACATAATGATAACATTCATCACAGGGAATTTGTACCTGTACATGATATATCTTGCTGCTTCTTTTTTCCCAATCCCTCCCCCTTGACCCCTCTTCCCCTCCTTATTTACAAAGCATTGTTTCCATTTTTCCTTCTATTCTTTTTTTCCCTTGTCACTTCTTTCCTTCTCCCCACCCTTGTTCACCTTCTCATTTGAATATTTGCTTCTCATTTCCCAATATTTATTAAACATTTTGGTCCTTATTTCCCTTTTCAGTTTCTCACACCAGAGAAACAATATGGTATTTAAACATGCATGTCCAATTTATTTCATCTAAGAGTATGGTCCCAAGGT